CCCCCCCCCACCCAAGTCAGTCAATTAATTAATAAATGATGTAATCAATCATTAAAAAGCTTATTAAATGTTAGAGTGAACATCAAGTACAGTATATTAGTCTTAGTCTTTTGCCTACCAAGCCTTTTGTAAAGTTGACTTAGGACTCGCGCTGGATGGATTTGGATTGGTGAGACTTCTGACACAGTATCAACCATGATATTTTGAGAAGCAAGAGCTCCTTGTATCTCTTTATTTTCAGCAAGCAAAACAACTGCGAAGGAATTCAAAATATTGACAACAGTTGTAACTATCAAACGTCTACATGGAGTAAATAAACGGGTGTACAGTAAATAATAGGTTTAAAGCCCTTTCACATCTGTTCAGGTTCAAGCTCAAGTTTTCAATTCATGTTTCAATTTTTTGATAACTGTTCAAATCTACTCAGGTTAGGTACAGTAGTAGCTAGGCCTAGCCTAGGCTAGCAAGAAAAGATGTAGATAGCTCTTGAGGGGCTATTCTAGTCACATACCTGTGAGGCCAAACCTGGCACCAATTTCTGAAAATACTATGCTCCTCTGTAATCTTTAGAACTTTTATCATATAATATTTTATTTAACTGGATTTGCATTTGCAATTCTTCTATATTTAAAAATCATCATCTAGACCTAGGCCTGATCTTGCCTCCGCCGACACCACACTCTCTCTCTCTCCTAACTTTGAAACTGTGGTTTTGATTGGTCAGAAGACGTTCAGTATAAATCAAGTGGAAAAAAAATCGGTTGTAGACCGATTTGATCTGGTAGCCGGTAACTATAGCCGGTTGTGGTATACCGGAACGAAGCAAATGGGAGCAGATCATGAATTTAGCATGGATAAAATAGAAGTCCATTTTGTTTTGCCTGAACATGAGCTGGGGCATGAACGGAAACCTGAACAGATGTGAAAGGGCCTTTATACATGATTACTAAACACAGTTTGGACTTTTCTTCATTTTAATGGAGCAGCAGCTCTGTCCTGAGCCAACTCCTATTGGCAGCCTTACATCCTATCTTCACACTTCATATCTCTATCTCATGTATTTTTTTTTTTTTCATATGTTTACACCACTCTTAAAAGATTAACCACAATAGTTCCACATCATTACTCACTTACCACCAAACATTCAATAAACTCAAACCACTATAATAGTCCTATAGATGAAAAATATTTTCCCACACTTTCAAGATTTCTGACAAGTCGCTGATTTTTACACCAAGATAGTAACATTTTTAAATGTCTTGAAACAAATTATTAAAAAAACTTACCCTGTACAACAAGATCTGGCTTAGGTTCGGTTGAGAAACGGCGATTCAGAGGGTCAATTTCCCCTGGCGCTAAGAACTTCTCTTTTAAAAGACAGCCGAGGATATAGAGAGACTGCCCCCACATGTGAGGTATCTTGCCTCCTGCTTCTCGTCCCTGACTGTGTGGATTTTTATACTCTAAGTCAACCTAAAAAAAACATATTCTGTTACATAAATTAATATTAATAATAATAATATAATAATGATTTATAGAGAACATCTTGTACACCTTTATCGGCTTAACATTATTAACCCTGGTCACAGGATCAAGCACATGGAACACATACTCAGTGTGACGGTAGGACGTGTGGTTCGTAACGGTGTTGCTAGGTAATCCAGGTAGCTATAATTTGAGCGTGACGTGTGCATAATCGAGGGATGCCTTAGAAAATACACCTGCCCTAATTCCATTTAATGAACAATAATTCGGTGACATTAATTTATGCAAACATGTGTGATGCAAGTTGCATTGTATAGGAAATACAGCATCTCTGAACGTTATCTTCCCTTTTAGAACCACTGTTGCTCATATGTGACACTCAGCTCCCAGGGGAGAATTCCATAATGTTGCAGCTGTAATCAGTGCATTTTGTGTTTGAACCTACCAGGTACCCATTTGTACTTCTGAGTGGAGACAACCGTAAAGGGAAAGTGCCTCTTTGGAATTGTATTGAGGTAACAAATTTGTTACTATTTGGATGAAAAAGGATGCATATAAGATGAAACATCCCATCCCCTATGGACCCCATTGGAAATAAGTTTCTTAAATTTATGAGTTTATCCATAGTATTCTTTTTTTCATGTAACTGTCTTTTTAATTAAATTTTATTGTATTGTTTTTAGGATGATGTAAATTGAAACTTTTTTATGCGAGATGCTGAATAAAACAGAACAAATCCAAACCCCATCACAAGATTTGAACCCAGTACCCTGGGACTGGAAGGCAAGACCACCAAGCTACCTCACAAATGATACAATATAAGGTATTCTACCAACCTTTTCATGCGGAACATAATAAAGCTCTGGAACTCCTTTAATTCCGTTGTCAAGTCTGACTAGCGCATTATCAAGCTTCTCACCGTATCTGTCCACCAGTTCCTTGTTACCCCGAAAGATGCCATCTAACACCAAGTATGCCCAGAATAATGGCCACTCACACTCTATGTTCTCGAAGATCTTAAGCTCTGCAGGATCGTAGTACAGTCTATTGGGATCCTAAGTACAAACAAACATTAATAAAAAATTATGACTGGAAGAAATTTATGTTTGCACCACCAATGGTAGGGTGCATTTCACATTTCGCCAAAAGCATAAAACAAAATGTCCTAATGTGGCTTATACTGAACAAGTTTTCATAATCTTTTAAGAACCGATGAGGGCAATACGATAGAGGCAGTGGAGTATATTTGCTTTAATTTGCCTTTTAATTAATCAATCAGCAGGTTAATCCTAGAGCTTCTCATCAGAGCCAAAAAAAAAATATGGAAGGACAGAGCCAGGAACGTGGAGGATCTATAGAGAATGGGAACACATAAGCAATTTTGTTCACATAAATATTAAAAATATTTTAATGTATGGATTCCGTACCTCTTTAGCCGTTTTGTGACCATCTCTGAGGAACCGCTTGCAGCCGTACTGTCCGTCTAATTTATCGATGATCTGTTCTCTCGTTACATTCACAAGCGTCTCATCATCGCAGGCAAATGCGGGGAAGCCTATCAGACTCAGGAGCCCAGCGTCAATCTCCTATAAGAGTAAATACATGAAAGTATCATACTTACGATTCAGATTGTTGGTGCTAAAAAAAAACAACAGTGTTAAACTGAGGTTATCTCTATTCAGCGTTTAATGCTTCATGTATGCACCTTTCAGAAGAGGCTTTTTGTTAACACTACTAAAACATGCTTAAATCATGGAGGAGATAACCTCCATGCTTAAATACAGTACACAATTGCGTAATTTGGCAAGGGTTCATAATAAAAATAAAAGTAAAAAAAATAAATAAATAAAATGTCACAAAATTTTAAAAAAAAAATAAAAAATTGAATACCAAGACGCAATTTGAACTCACGACCTTTGGTTCTTTAGAACCCATCTTTAACTGACCACGCAATCCATCAAAAATTAAATTTTTATTATATTTTATTGAGATGGTGCACTATTGTAACTTGTTTTTCTCCCATCCAGCTTAAAAACAAGGAGAGGCAGCGATGGAAATTGAACCAGGGACCTAGAGATCTCCACGGTCCAGCGCTCACACAGTGGCTACCACCAGATTAGCCAACTGAGCTAAGCTGCTCTCTACATGTGTGTGTATTGACACTCCGGAAAGGTCTATACATCTTAACATTAATATTGAATATGTTTAACAAATATGCTGGTGACCTTGGAGTTTGATTCTTTGGGCAGCATGGACTGCAGAATGGCCTGGCAACAAGCAATATGGTCAGACTGGACATGGATCACCGACGCTGCTCCGCCCCTTGCCCCATACAGATCAAGCTTGTTGATTGCCTCCATTGCAGCCTAAAGCATAACAACAACAAAAAAACAAAAAACAATCATTTCCTTTCATTTATCCTGAGACAGGATTCCCAACAGTGAACTGAATCAAACTATAAAAACAAAAAATCACGTAGGGGGCGGAATAAACTATAGCTACAGTATGTTTACATTGGTCAAAATTGAAGACGTTGACGAAATGTATATGCTAAATTGTACATCATTTTAAACTTAGACTTAAATATGCAGCAAAATTTATAAACACCATAGCTCTAAATATTGTTTAGCATAACTTTAACATATTTTTAGGCAAGATTTTTTTAATACCTTGTTGTTACCTATCGTCAGAGGAAGGGGAAAAAATGAAATTTTGTTTCTCATTTAGCAAAATGATTTTATAAAAACCATCTAGGCAGAGGAGAAAATAGAAATAAAATTGTATTTATAAATTAAAAAATGCAGTAATAAGGTTGATTTATGATATTTTAGGAGAGTGGGGAGGGTGCAATAACTGGCAAAAATTAACATTTTATTTTTATTCAAAATCACCATTTTTTGGCAGTAGCAGGGTTCACTAAACAAGGTATATAGATCTTGCCTAACCACCAGGCTATTTAACTCCATATTATCAGTTAGGTGGGTTAAGATACATGTATCCATACATATGGGTTACATGTGGTAGTTGTGTGGTGCTGTACTGCGACTGGTCCCCATGGTCCATAATTCCAATCATTATTTCTTCATTAGCAATACCTTGGCCATTCCAATTGAGCTTGCATTCAATTCTGGTAAACCGTGGTTTGTCTTATCTCCTCTTTCCCAGATCCCATAATCTGGAATACGGTAAGCTGACTGGATGTAAAATACTAGGTTCTGCACAAATGCTACTTCATCAAGGCTAAATATGATCTGTAACCCTGCGAGAAAAATATTTCAATATTAAAACATTCTACTTAAGTTTATCTCTAACAAACATTAAGAAAAAATTCCCACCGAATAATATAAACAAGCAGTATTGGGTCAGTAAGCTTCACCACACTCTGGAAACAAACACATGTGACATGCCTAAATATGGTCATGATGACATCACACCATGACTATATATAGGCACATCATGACTATGTATAGGCACATCATGACTATATATGGGCACATCATGACTATATTAACCACAACAGCGTTATATAAATACTCACTACCATAACTAGGGTCCCAAAATTGAAAAAGTAATTTTAAGGAGTTCCGTTTAAAACAAGCTTTCTTAGCACATGTAATTTTGTTTTGCTACACAAGGTGATACCAATCGACACCAATTGAGACCACTGACATCAAAGGGGTAATACAATAGTATTTTAGAGAGCAGCTTAGCTCAGTCGGCTAATCTGGTGGTAGCCACTGTGTGTGCGCTGAATAAATAAAATAAATAAGCAGCTAATAATTCATTGTATTGTGCTGTAAATGTCGTGGCATTTAAATGATTATTAGGAAGCTTTTGACGACGTAGAACGTAATGACATCACTAAAAGTCATCTGCGCATGCCAGAACGTTCAGTTCGCCTCATCGCATGGATTGTAGGACGCAATTAGGACAAATCTATGTATGCAGAGGACGTAGGATGCACGGTAGGACGGTCACGCATGAGTGATTCCATTTTAGCGTCGCGTCGTTGCGCAAATCGAAAGCTCCCTAGTATTATAGTGACGTAGAGTGTGCCTGGCTTTAAACATACCTGTTCTAGTTCATAGGCTTTGGCTCTATCTTCGTCTAAATCTGCCTGTTTCCTATATGCCAGTGCCAGGCCCCATACCGCCATAATGCTGTACACATTATCACGCACCCAGGCATCTTTCTCATTGCTACTGGCTGAAAGAAGTCCGGTAACTGCATTCTGTAAGAGACAGATTCACAAAGAAATATTGTTATACAAGGGCAGCGCTAGCGGGGGTCCAGGGGGGCAAAGGATCCGACGTCGGGGACCTCTAGACCCTTTCAGCAAGGTCGTTGGGGAAAAATTAAATCTCGAGTGCCAAAAGTACAATTCATGCATGCCTTACTAAGCTGTCAAAATTTCAGGGATTAAAAAACTGTTTAGTGCGAGCAGTGCTACCGTATGTGTGAGGTGTACTATATACTATTGTGATCGTATGGATTGTAGTGGTGCACCAGCTTTTCCCCGACAGGGGATGGTACTGCCTCCAAGAGGGGTTAGTACCCCGACAGGGGTACTATTACATCCCCGACAAATTTAATTTTTTCCCTGACCACCATAGGGAGGAGGGCCCTCGCTGCGGTGGCGCCAGAAATTTGCCAACAAGGGTCCAACGTATCCGACGGATGGGTCAGAACCAGGCCTTGGTCGATGGCTCGGAATATAGAAATCCCTGTTAGGCTCATACTGGCATTTGATGTGTGCAGTAAACCTATGCGCTTAGTCCATTCAAGATCAAAGCAACAATTCATTGACTTCATTTCTGACCATAAACAAAACACTAGACGCAGGGTTTCCGGAACGCCGCCCTCAGCGGCGTCTGCGAAGCACAACTCAGAGTCAGAAGTGGAATGTGAATTTCGATATGGTTTCATAGTCAGATTTTTGAGAAAAACTTCAGCTACCCGTATTTCTCGACTGAGACGTCAATGGGAGCTGTAATTTGTATGGCAAGGAGATGGTGCTACCCTTTATTCGTATTAAGGGAATTTACGCCCACAAACCTTGTAGTTATTAATATTTTGGTTATAAATAAAAAATTTTTATTTTTTGGTGACGTCACACTCACCCTATAGTTAGCATGCATACGTCATAAGCTAGATTACGTCACCTTTTCCTGGTAAGGCAAACTTTCCCGGCATGCTTTTTTCATGGATAAACAAACACCACTGCTTTGCACATGAATACCTTGCCTAGCTAGGGCTACAAGAGCCGCATAGTTAGCATATAATACTTAAACAAGGTAGGTCTGCAACTGAATTATTCTTAGGCCCTAGTTAAATTTCTTATTTTAATTTATTTCCTTCAAAAGTGTACTTTCTATCACATATAATTACACTGTCTACTTAGACCTAGGCCTAGTCATATTATGCTTCATCGTTCCCCGCTATACACAGTACATCAGTAGGTTAGCCCCACCCCCCCATGCTACAGTACAGACGTTTGCTAGGCAACAGAACCTGATTGCACATTTCTTCACAGGTGTTCATGAAAATTTGCATATTGTTAGCTAACCAGCTGCATGTATTCCTTTGTGAAAATGAGTACCCAACATACTCATTTTCACAAAGCATTTGCATCCCCTCTTGGAAAGAGGGAACTTCGAAATAGCTGTCTAGTCTCCATATCTTCGCTAATTAATCACCGTAATTTAGCTTACACTTATGCATGGAGGGAGCACTTAAAATGTACAATAATCATTTCACTACCCGACAAACCCCGAACTTTATTCATGCATTACATAAATAGTTTCATCTTGCTGTACTCCAACATCACTGGCGCATGTTAACAACCAACTGGAAGACCATTTCCGGTCGCATTACTCTCCATAACGCAGCACCCCCTAGTTCGTGTTCTCTGGGTCTATAGTTACAACCTAAAACTCATTATTCGATCCATTCCAAAAATAACAATTTAAAAAAAAATAAAAATAACAATAATAGTTATTATTATTATTATTATTATTATTACTAAATATTTTTATTACTATACTATTATTAAAGCAAAACAACGTTAATGGTCAATTATCCCAGCTAGTGCCCCTAATTTTCCCATCTCAATAAATCTGTTTTGGTCTATTCATTGCTTTCAGCGTTTTCAATTGCTTTTTGTTTTGATTTTCATTTTTGTCTGCTTTGTTCACTCTGATTTGTTCACTCTGATTTTAAATTTCAAATAAAATCACACAGACCCACCGTCATAAGTCATAGAACAACTTATTTTTAAATAAGTTAAAACTACATTTGGTTGGAGGAGTAACAAAAGTAAAAATATCTTATATTTCATTTCACTTTTCATTCCATTTATTTCATCCAATTTTAAACACATGTACAACAAAAACAAATACAAAACAAAGCACCCTTAACAGAGACAGGATTAAACAAAAGCAAACTTAATTGCTGTACAAATTTTCTCTGCCGCCAAGGGGGACACTTAAACAATACTAAAAAATAAATATTATCCAATGATTAAAATTTACAATAAAAGGCAGATAAGAATATAAACTCCATATTTTTAATTTTCAATGGTATAATTTTGTTTAATTTGTAGTCTTATTTTGTATGTACAGTATTTTCCAAGTTTATTTGCATATTTTATCAATGATTGTGTTGAATTGTGCCTCTTCTTTAATAGTTAATTTTTATATTTTTGTAATTTAAGCTGAACACACCACTCGTGTGCCGCCGTTCCAAATGTGTATGTTTTTAAAGTAAATAATTAGATAAATATACATAATATATATATTATTAGATATATAAATTACATAATATATATCAATAATAGTCTAAATAATAATAAATTAAACAAAGTTAAGGCTAGAACAGTTGCAAACCAACCTCTCTATCTAGAAAATCAGTGACGACATTTAGCCTAATAATGACATGAAAACATAATTCGAGCAGTTCTGGCGTAAGCCCTAATCCAACTTTAGAGATGCTGGTTGAAATCAAATAGGGCCTAGGCCTAGCCTATCTAGGGCCTAGGCTGTATGTAGGGTAGAAGTTATAAAATTAAGATAGAACCTCTCTCAGAGGCTGAGCCTCTGTCTGTCGAAGTAGCCTAGGCCCTAGGCCTAGATTGAAAGGCTCCACCAACAGCAACGTTACAGTAACCAGCACAAGTAACACTCGCTCGGGTCCTACTTAAAAGGCTAGGCATCACAGGCCTAAATTAAGTGACGTCTAGCCTAAAGGTAGGCCTAGTAGGGCCTAGGCCTAGTATTAGTATTAGTAGTAGTAGGCCTAGGACCTACCAAACATCTTTCAATTCATACATACCTGATGGGATAATATTGTGCTTGATACCAGTCTATTGTAAAAGTCCAGCCGAACACCTGAATTACTTCTACTTCTCATAATTACATAAATAACTTTGTAACCTGGTAATCACACATAATTTAGGCCGACTACAACTCTAGGCAACCCTAGGCCTAGCTAGCCTAGGTAGGCGATGAAGTAATTGTTCGCCCGCTACCGTGCGAGAATTCGATCCAACTCGGCCACAGTCAACTCGGATACAAGTTAACTCGGCCACAAGTCAACTCGGCCACAAAAAGTTTGGCTACAGTCAACTCGGCCACAAGTCATTTACTGGTACAGTACTACTACAATTAAGTAATTCATCAAGCATAAAATACTAATTCTTTAAGTATTACTATACTTATTGTTATTATTATTGCTGTTATTATTGTTGTCATTGTTGTTTACCGTTAGTTTTAATATTAATTATTAGTCTAAGCATTAACATTATATACGGTATTGTTCAAATTTTTGCTATTATTATTACATTATAAATAATAAATAATTTTCGATTTATTATTATTATTATTTATTAGTCTTAGTATTATTATTTTAATAATAGTAATTTAAAAAGTTATTGTTATTGGTGTTTTTTTTCTCATATTATTATTATTATTAATATTATTGTTGTTGTTGTCACCACCTTTATTATCGATATTATTACCATACAGTATTATTACTAAGTAGGCCTAGTATTTAAGTATCATTATTATTATTATTACTAATTAGTATTACTATTATTATAAAAATAAACATTATCTTTAATTTATTATTGTTGTATTATTGCTATTAACACCTTCAATATCGTTATTATCACTAATTATTTATTAAAATTGATATTTAAATAATATTGTTATTATTACCATACTAGTATTATTACTATTAGTATTGTAAAATAAATATTACTATTAATGTTGTTGTTGTTATCACCTTTATTATCGTCATAATGACTAATTAGTATTATTAAAGTAAATATTATTAATTTATTGTTGTTGTTGTTTAATATTATTGTTGAAGTAGAATGAATGAAAACAGAAGACGAACACATTAATAAATAACTCTTTAATTCATAGGCAATAGCATTCAAATCTGTTTTGGTAGTGTGGTTGTCCTGTTTGACTAAAATATACTGTACTTTAATTTAATCATTATATTGAAGAAAAAGGATGCAAAAACTACAGAGATTTACATTTAACTTGTGGCCGAGTTGGATGTAGCCGAACTTTTTGTGGCCGAGTTGACTTGTGGCCGAGTTTACCTGCACCCCCATGCAAATAAAATCCTATAGCACGGTCCACCTCGCGTCAACTTTGGCTATTCTGCGTCAACATTGGCTATTTCGCGTCATAACTGCAGAAACAGGATCGTTCAGTAAAATTTAAATTTATTATTAAAAATTAAGAAAAAATTTTTAGGAACACTAAACAAATGTCAAAAAAATATAAACTTGTCCAGATTGGTACGTCACTTGGGCTCTTGTATAAGGCGTTGGTGACATTACTTTCTTCTATACAATGATTGGCTGATGAGCAATCCAGCCATTATATTAATAGAAATGAGTGGGTAAATTGCATTAAAATATTGGGTGATTCGCATTTACATATAGAGGTAGCTATTTGTGTAACTGGTACTGTGCTCTGATCTGTCTTCATAGAAACATCTGGTAGCCATTGCCATGAAGTTGGCATTTGAATGATGATGACTTTTTTAAAAGTATTTCAAAGCAACACTCCACCACATTGTAACAGTAAACAATAGTATGTTAAAAAACAGTTACAGATAACATGTTGCTGAAAATTATATTTCGGTCAAATTGCTCGATGAAGTTGCATCTGGCTTTCTTGTACAGATCTACCGAGTACTGATGGTATCTTACAACCTCTTTGATTGTATGGAAAGTAAGAATTTTTGTGGGTTTCTTAATCTCCTTTCTAATGAATTTGCGAGGAAAAAACTCCTGGTGTTGCACAATTTGAGTGCACGACCCTTGGATTGGAAAGTAGGCAACTTCACCACCCACAAACAACTCAATCCACTAAGACTATCTTCAAGAAAAGATTCAAATAATTGCAAACAACAATAGTATGCTTAATTATAATAATCTTTTAATGCATATCCTCTCCACTTGTTTTCGAACAGAACAGAAAATTTAATTTTTTAATTAACTCAAAATTGTGGCTGCCACCTTCTTGTGTCATTTCCACTATAAACAATGTGATATGATGTATATAATTATTGTTTTCATTTTCCTACACAACATGTTGTTGGAAGCACAAAAATTATGAAATCTATCCATTGTAGTATTAGTCAATGATGGTTTAAATAATCAACACCATGCAGTAAAGTACACCTCAAGCATTTGAGTTCTCCTCATAAGAGTACCACCTCCAGTACAGTGAGTACCACTACATCAAGTTCATTTAAAGCTAACCATGGCTACTGATCATTGGCAAACTGAGCAGGGTCCTTTCGAGCAAGTTTTGCGTGAGTATTAGTTCCCCAAGTATATATAAGATATGCAACAATCATTGCTGAAAAAAAAAAAAACAGGTCAACATTCATTTTATAAAAAAAAAAACCAGGTCAACATTCATTTTATAAAAAAAAAAACAGGTCAACAGTCATTTTATAAAAAAAAAACAAAACAGGTCAACAGTCCTTTTAAAAAAAAAAAACAGGTCAACAGTCATTTAATAAAAAAAAACAGGTCAACAGTCATTTTATAAAAAAAAACACAGGTCAACAGTCATAAAAAAAAAACAGGTCAACAGTCATTTTATTTTAATTTCCTTCACATCCAACAGGAAGTACACTACCCACTTACAGGATGGATGCTTTTCTAACCAAGTCTCTTTATTGAAGCCTTGCCTAGGGAGTGGAGTTGTTTTTGGTCATGAGAAAAAGTCCTGCTGTGACAGGAATTGAACCTAGAACCCTGGAATTAGAGGGCAAGCATCTTATCCACTATTATTATTATTCTATCAACTCCATTTATTTAATGTCCATACAAAATAAAATGAAGAAATAATACAGAAATATGAGATAAACTCTATTACATGCTATGTCTGAAACTTTCATGAATTTCAAGGATACATACATTTAAAAAAAAATAGTTATTGTCAAAATACTTTCAGAGATTACATTGGTCATAACAGTAAAACTAAAAAACATATTACAAGTAAGCAATGTGGTAATGTACTTACGTGGTGATACAATGAAGACTTTACTTCTAAATCGTCGCCATAAGTTTGGCATACCCTGGGAGAAGTAGCCTGCAAATGGTTTCTGTGCATACGGTGACAATGAGTAGGTGATCACATGTCTGTATTTGGCAAGTTTTCCAAACTCTTGACCTCCCATTTTGCGTAGCCTAATTACAAAGTTAAAAAGATGTTGTAGTAAAAAAAAAAGCTATGTGAAAATTGCAGATTACAGCTCTAAGAGGCACTCCAGCAGTAGGACCAGTGGATTGAGGGTGGTGGTTGGGCACAATGGACCTTATCAAGAAATCCTCAAGCTCCGGTTGAAAAGAAGCAAATCCTTTCATCGATAAACACTTCTCTAGTGTTTACATTCTGAAATTTCCTTTTCCAGGCATCTATTTGCTAAAAATTAAAGGGAATTCGGAACTCTGGTTGAGGAAGCTCAACCAGGTGGCGCCCTCTGGACGTTGGTTACTGTTCATTACGCCTGAATGACTTCATAATCTTAATGGCTTAGAATAGGCTTTCTGGAATAGCATTTTAAAACCTAATAACTTACTATCAAAATACTAAAAACACAAAAGCTCACAATATATAATAGTTTAATATCGAACACATATTTCATCACCAATTAAAATTTACAAATTAAGATATCATAATAATTACATTAGAAATTGGAAGTAATGGTTTGGAGAATGGAGACAGTTGACCACATTCTGTGTTGCCGATAGCAATGGAATAGTATCACGTGGTATCGTGACGTACCAACGTGGTACTATTATCGAACAGGTTTCAAATAGTGGCGTGATGTCATCAACATAGACAGCACTCTTCTATAGTCGGCTGCAATTGGTTAATTGTATACATGCTTCATAAATAATATTAAAAAACAAATATGAAGAATGATTTTATAAAGATATTTAAACATGTATGGTTTACTGATATTAACTGTGTAAATCAATATAGGCCTGGCCTAGCTACTACTAGGACTATGGAAAAAAGAAATGAAATGCAGGAATGCCTGGGCAATCTCAGGTATACTCTTAGTTTAGAAAAATCCGCTTGATGCCTAGGCCTAGGTCGCATATCAAACATTCTTTTTCCTCCGGAGTCTGACTTTAAGCAAAGAAAGAAATACGTTTTAGGCCCACTATATTCATTGTTTTAGTTTACACGTTCAGTCTGGAAATGAAAGTTAGGCCTAGGGATGTGTAGTTTGAGACCTAGGTAAGTAAGGAAAGACCACCTAGCCTAGGCCTTTGTTTAACAATCAACATCATAGGCCTAGATAGTAGGCCTAGTAGTACTAGTACAGTAGTAGTAGTAGACGTGTGATGTGATGTGAGGTAAAGGTTACTCCTCCTCCTGATTAAATCGCACTAGGCCTAGGCCTGCCTCATTTGCTTGTGAGCAATCTATTTCTTTAATTATATTTTATGTAAATTAAACATATAAAAAACTATGCATACCAAGAGTGTAATTATAAATAAATAAACGTTTTTCGTCGGAACTAAAATGAAGAAGTCCACCGCAGGGCGCCGATCAAAATCTCCTCTTTACGATACGACGCATGCGCACAATGTCGTCATACATTAGATCATGTTTTACCAGCGGACCAGACCGATACCTTGCTGCTGTACTCGTACCACTATCTCTACTATCTACTATAACAGCACCTACTTGAGAGGATCACCATTTATCATACGTCGTATTTTCTTTCTCTATGGTCGTATCATACATTATCAGTCTCCCCACACTCATTGCAAAGAACGTAAATAAAAATCGCATATCATCACCTCACTTTGTGAGTTAATGGCCCCTCATTAATCATCTTGCCAGCACCCCCACTTGACCTTCGAGCCCCACACCCCTCCACATTTTATCAGGAGTTAGCAACTAAATCGACCTTTCTGGGAAACTAAATGTCGTCGTGGGTGGGTAGGTCGGGAGTAAACATGTCATGACTGGCATTTGAAAATTCTTCGCCTTATTATTAATAAACCATATTGTTATTGTTATTTGTCGCCATACTGTATGTCTGATAATAATTTTATCCATCTTTTTATTGGCTATAATCTGATGACGTATCGTCTTTGCCTCTGTGTTGTTTTGTTATTGTATGTTTGGCCAGGGGGTTTAGAGGATACCCATCACTTGCTTTGGGCTCTCAGCCCATGGTGCCCCCTTCTGGCCATTTTCTAATTTGTTGTGCTGAATATGTAATAAATTATTGATAATAGTTGATTAGTAGCAGTGACAGATTTAATGGGGCTGGCTCGGAGTCCCCTTCCCCTAAATCTTCGAAGATTATAAAACACAATGGACAAAACTGTATTCAAATTGATGTGTAAAAGTGCGATTTCCAGTGCCATAATAATTTTTCTAACCTCTAACCATGGTTGGGTTGAGGTACCCTCAATCTGTGGAAGTACCTCCTCAGGGGATCCCCACCTCCATTTAGAATCCCTGTTTCCAACACTGCTTGTAGTAGTAACATAGTAGGAAGTTCATAAAAATTATAAACATAATATCGCACAAAATCAATTGAAGTTTTCCTAAGAACGATGGATTTTATTTGTTTATCTGAACATTTGAGGAGCAACACATAAGTATGTGGAGTAGAATGCCAATTGACTTACATTCAAGCCACTTCATATAACATCATCTGAAAGTTCAAACCATTAGATGCACTGTTCAAAATTGTTTTAAAAATTAGAAAAAATAAAAAGTAATAAAAGAAGAAATACAAAGTCATGAATATGCATGAGACAATAAATAATAGCAATTAAATACCACATTTTTGATTAAAAAATACCACATAGCATATGTACCAAGCTGTTAGAATAAATCTCTAGTGGCATACTTAGGGTGTGGGGGAGGGGGTGCACATTCCACATTGCAAGTGTCCAAACTAAAAAGGTCATCTCAAGTAGTTAAAACTCATCTCCCCCTCCCCCTCCCCCACCAGCCTTTTTATTTTGAGATTTCTAGATACACTGCCACTGTAGATGTGGTCTAATGAGATTTTAAAGTCAGCTAACTTCAGAGACAACTTAAAACAAGCAAATATTATGAAATTGATGATTGGTTAGTTTCTGGGCAGTAGCGCATCTAGGAGTCTCGACATTGGTGCTGATGGTGGAGTGCAAAAGTCATGTGGGGTGGCTCAACGATAAGATGGGGGGGGGAACTCAATGAAATAGGGGAGGGGGAACTCAATGAAATAGGGGAGGGGAGCTGACTTCCAAAAAAATCAATACGTAGCAAGTGTGTATAATCTTGCTTACGTAGTGTGGTAGAAGGATTTGCAGGTAGGATGGATAACTGACATAGGCCACGACTTAAACGCTCCTTCTGGGGGCCGATTTTTACCTACTTGAGTGTGATTTTTGGCACCCACTAGATACTACCCGAGACATCCTGTGATACTGTATACTCGACCTCTGACATTTCAACACTCACAAGATGAAGAAGCAGGAAGTAACCTGCAAGTTTTCATAAAAATATTGTTATGGCATGCAGTTGTTGTCAAGCACTATCCTAATCTATACTACACAAACAAGTATAGCAACTGCAAGCCATAAATATTTTGTTTCCATGAAGCATTATTAATTATATTGTTTGGGGTTTTTTTTCATAGTGTTAACAACGATGTAAACGTCTATTGCTGATAAAAGCCCGGTTCACATCAAAAGTTATCCAGTTAACTGGATTTATATAGTCCGATTAACTATATCCAGATGAAAATGATCCATATAGATGAATCCAAGCAAGCCTGGAATTCAGTCACATATAAACCAAACAAATAAACATTCTCTATTCCAGTTCAGGTTTAGTCACATGCCTCACAGTTAATCTTGATAGCTGAACATAGTTCAATGTGAACACTTTCTCTAGATTCCCTTATATTCCATTTGATGTGAACCAGGTTTATAAGAGTAATAATATGCGGTAATTTTATAGCACCTTGACCTATAAAAAGATAGCATGAAAGCACTTGCAACGTTATTTGCCACTCCTAGTCTTTGCATCCGTAAATGGCCAAATGCTGTACCACTCTTTTCTCCTTATGGAGTATACCAGGATACACTCTTTAAAATTAAGCTTATTCCTTTTTAAGCAAACATTGTAAAAAAAGTTTTATATTTCTTAAATCAATCAATATTTAACACCCTTGTGTTATCGTGACTATTCCTCACACTGGGTATGTTCCTAGAACATTTGTTTCTTTATTAAGAAACACCTAATCAATACTATGCACACCAAACTATCCAATATGTGAAGCAGTCATTCTGGTTTTCAACAATAATTCAACATTTGTTTTCAACGTTCAGCCACCTCAGCCAACTTTCAGTTGTCCTAATAATGGACTAAATTTAATGTTGAAGGCTTCAGTCTTACCAGCTCATATAAATTTGCACCCTTTATACAAGCTCCGATGTATGGAATTATTTTTGTTTTCACTTCTCATGAGTTATTACTTCCCTTATCGCAGTATTAACATGGGAATTGAACAAGGGACTTTGTTCCACATAATTTACAATTTCAATTTACAACTATATTTGCCGTTCAATTCTCACCAATGTGTTTGCATTTAAAAGGTGAGAACAGTGGCTTACTTGGTTAAATATTGTACGGCTTGTGTCTGGAAAAAATTGATGTCATTTCCTTGTTTTTTTAAAAAAAAATCTATTAAGTGTTTTGGGCAAGGTTAAACATTGTACGGCTTGCGTCTGGAAAAAATTCATGTCATTTCCTTGTTTTTTTTAAAAACTCTATTAAGTGTTTTGGGCAATTCCCAAATGCTGACATAAGAATATGTGGTGCAAACAGGATGATATATGCATACCATTAAACTTCAGTAATCACATCTGAACGTTACAATTTTGAATACAAATATTTAATTTTGCTTTCATCTTTTAAATTTTAATGGAAAAAGTTTTCATTTTAATTTTCTGACACCCAACAAAATTCTGGTTTATGTCCCATTGTTTTTCCAGCTTTAAACAATACATTTATGTTTGTAACAATATAATTTCACTTTGTCAAAAATTAAAAAAAGCTTTTTATAAAAATTCAAATATAATTTTACATTTTTTTTGACAAAAGCCAAGGAATATATTGATTGGAGAAATGCTTGCAGCTATAAATAGAATGCAACTTGAGAGATTATTCTATGGAATGTAAGCCCTCACATGCAAAGTAGAGCGCCCTCTATTATCTCATCTTACAGTACATGTATATTTGTGAGTGTTACGTTAAGATTAGAATTAATAATTACTTGATATATGATTATAATGCATTCCTCATAGAGGCAAGTATAACAGTAGTAATGCGAAACATATGTTAACCGCATTCAAATTTGCACCAAGTTTATTAAGAATCTAATTCAGTATTATTTACCAATCTTTTGAATAAACACATTCAAAGTAACAAGCAGAACATAATGACATGCTCCTCCTCCTCCACATTGCACTCGTTGATAATTCTGTTCGTTGGGATACAATAAATCAATTAAGTTGCGCAATAAGCAGATTATTTTATAATCAGATGCTCCATCTGGCAACCGATTGGCTAGGTTCTTCAGTTCACTACGAGAAAAACCCTACATTGCATAATCCAGCAGACCACTGCATGAGTGGTTGAATCCAACAACACTAACCATGCGAATTTGACCATCATCAGCCATAAGGTGTCAATGAACACCAACACTGCCATCTGTCCCATCATGTGGTGTCAGAAATTAGTTCATTTCCAGCGTCACCAGTCGAGTTGCACTTGGTATCCAAGAGCGACTGCTCTTTATTTACAGCCTCAGCACTTCCATTTGTCTTTAAAGACACTATTTTGCTTCTTTCTTCTTCACTTAGGAATGACGGTGATATGGGGAATAGTTGACGGCATTTCTTTCGGTATACGTTAGCTGCATGCGGGTTTTTGAAATCATTCATAATTGCTTCTAGAATTGTTGCGCACATCTGCAAAAAAAGTGAAGCATAATTTTCAATTACAGTAGAACTCTCAATTACTTACGGCACGAGCCCAGAGCCGTTTGTAATTACAGGTATTCGTAAAATCGAGGTTGACCAAAATTCCTATATATTTGTACTGGTACTTCTTACACTGGCATAAACTAGGCCTAGGCTAGGCTCACAGGCCTACGCAGCTAAGTCTGAGGGGGCCTAGCCTTACAGAAGGCAGTTTCTAAGCATTCTGATCCCACTGTAAGCCCCACACAAATTTGTTTTTATTCAGACGTTTTTACTCCAACACAACTTCCATAGATACTTGTTTATTATATATCTTGATCATTCAATAAAACAATCAAGCACTATGTTGACTTTTAAAGTTGAAAACGATGATTAAAAGAGAAGTAAAATTTGTTGCATGCACATGAATGAACCCATAATAAACACTGAATTTGAATTAGAGGGCCTCCTTCACTTCAGAAATACATACTACTCTATAGATCCCATTACCAGTATAGTATAGTATTTTTTTAAATTTTTTTTACTTCACTCTTACCTTGATTTTACATTCGTAAAATCGGGAATTTGTTAAATCGGGGTTCGTAATTAAGGGTTTCTACTGTAATTCGTTTATTATTACTAATTGTGCTTGTATAAAATAAAAAAAATCAAAATCAAATAAAAAAAATGAAAAATCAAATCAATTAATGTTGAATTTGCCTTAAAGCTCTTAAACACTATCATATTTTCTTTGACAAAAAAATGTTGTATGCCCATATAAAGTCACTATGCCCATATTTAGGCATGTAACATGTCCAATGAAATGTGATAGTCTGGACAGGGCCTAATGAAATTGAAGAAAATCAGATTAACTTATGATAGTGACCTGATGTGTTCTGTTCTGCATGGTGTCATCCAATTTAGTTACTTGTGATATAGCTGCCTCCTGTGTTGAAGGATCTAACAATACTTGCATCTTGGAACCTGTAACAAGACAATAACATAAAATTATAAATCAGGCTCAATCTGATATTTTTAACCTAGGCCTATTCTGAGTTCTTTTGGTTGGTAAAACTACAGGGCTGAAATTGAGGTCAAGGTACCAAATTTATTTTTCAAAAATATAAAAAAAAAACAAACCAGCCGACTGTAGATTTTTGGTCAGTCAGGAATTGACAACACAAAAGTACTTTTTTGCCTAATGACTACCTATCAATATCTATCTAGCAAGTAATTCCAACGTGCACATAATTTGCCTGAGGTGTCTTCTAATCTAAAGGCCACAGGTCAATTTTTCACATAGCAGGTTTCATTGTTGTCAAAACTAAGACTAAAAACAACTCCACTCCCTAAGCCTCATAATAAAACTAAGTTTATGGAGAGCATCGTGTGTGTATCAGTGGCAGATTTTAGGGGTTGAGAAAAGGCAGCCTGGGCCCAATGCGAAATGCACAGCAAGGGATTGAATCCCCGACCTTGAGGTTGGGAAACCAAACCTTTCACGCGGCGCCATATTTTCTTCCAGCTCCTGACATTCAACCCTTTTAGGTAAGACTTAAATAAAAATGAAATCAAAATTAAAAGATAAAAATACCTGCAAGTAGATGTTCTAGAGAAGTTTTGTAAGCTGCGAGAAAATCATCATTATACTCTTTGAGTTTCTTTCCTTTTAATATTTTCTGCATTTCTTCAGATAATACTGTTTGAATTGCATCTGCTAGATTCTGTTTTTCCTCCACTTTGATAAAACAAATGAAATATAATTTACTATTAAGTTTACTTTACTAGAAACCTCACTACCTTTCTAACATAACATATACATCATCATTTCAACTAGAAATGCTCCAAGTTCAATCTAAATATACTGCCACGTGAACAAAAATTGATAACACATAATTGCAATTTACTGTGAAATTAAAGTTGAACATATCCAAATTAGGGGAGATTAAGTTAGGCCCATCTAAAATTTGCACCATTAAATTAAAATAGTAAAAAGGACAACATATATTCCAAAAAATGGTATCAAAATTATAATGTATCAATAAATACCAATTATTGCACAGAAGATAGAATATTGATACTTAACAAATTTCTCATCTAAGTTTTTATGTTACTGTATGTATTTTATATTTCATGTTTCAAGTATTTTAATTTTTCAAGTTACTGTATATTTGCATTTTTTGCACCTGGAAAAAAAAAAAATAAAAAAACTTACATAGCCTGGCAAATTGAATGATGCACACATGGAGCTGTGGGTTAGTTGGGTCTAATGAGTAGGCTCTCTTGATTGACTGCAACATCAGCAGCACCTTGTCTATAAGCAAAACATAATGCAACACAATCATAGTCATATATACTGTATTTATTCAAATGCCAGTGGCATTTATTTTTCCTCGATTAATGCCCCCAAATGACTATACGAAAGTAATGGAAGCAGCATCATTCTTAACACATTCCATTAATGTTGTACTGCAATAGAATTGCATGTTTTTTAACCTGTTTGAGATCAATAAAAATTGAAAAATTGCAGTGATCCCTGAATTAAGAAGAGTTCAGAATTGCGGTCAAGACTTCTAACCCTGCACATTACTTTGTGTTTTAATCATTGCATTGGCGTGGCATGCCTTCTAACTTACCTTTCCTATAATAAATTTCAAACGCCAAAAGGTGAGTTTCTATCCGATCCTTTGCTAAATTTTGCAAAGGCTTCAAGAAGTAAATTGCTTCTTTGAGAGGATTTTCACACTGAAACAAAAAATATACAACAAATCCATCAGCATAATCACAAATAAATACATCTTAAAACAATTAATGAACATTTAAAACAAATGAAGATGTAGTGTTACGGGAGGCTTTTGGGAGTATCCTGGAAAGCCAGGAATATTTTTAGTATTGTTATTAAAGAACTGAAGCTTACATTTAAAAAAAAAGTATTTTTTATTAACCGATTATCCAACTTCCAAACTGTAGCCCTTCTCGCGGCGAATACTCACTGCTGTATAAACATACCATGCGATTTCCTATTTCGTTCGTTTGTTGAAATTATTTACTCCACTGCCATCTCATTGATTGAGGTCGGCGCCCCAAGGATGCAAATATTGTAACATGGAGGGATAAACACAGCGAGTCTTCCGTGGATCTAGGCCTAGTCTGGCCAGGGAGTTGTTATTTAAATAAACAACTTAACCTATTCACCCCTAGATAATTGATTAATTTATAAGATTTTTTAGTGTCAGAAATATTGTTAAATATCACTTTTTTCTATAAGTGTAATAAAATAACTAATTTCCTAAATAAGCAATTATTTAGTGTTGTGAAATTATAAGGGGAAAAAAAATTAATTTTAATTAATGATTTCATATTTATAAATATATTTTATAAATAATTAATGAGGATGAGTGACGACAGTATAACAGTATGATAGATGGACGTTAATTAATGTAAACATCTTACTTTAGCTAATTTATCAGGGACGAGCTCCTCTTCCTTGGGTCCCTCACTCTCAGAATCTTTGTTCTTCTGTTTATTGTCAGCCTTTATTTTTTGTTCTTCCTTTTCTTGTGCTTTCTTTTGAGCTCGTCTCTGCTTGCTTTTTAATTTCTTCAGTTCTTTTGGACTAAGGTTCTCAGTATCCAACTCATCTAATCCATCGCTATCTTGGATTGGTTTATCATGAAGATGAACATAAACCTAAAAATAATCAATTAAATAAATAATAAAAAATAATAATAATGTAATAATGTAATAAATATGTAATAATAATAATAATAATGTAATAAATAATAAAAATAATAATCAATTAAAAAAAATAATCAACATAAACATAACAGTGTTCAAAAAATTAAATTTAATAACATTATTTACAAATGTTGGGTTAAATATAATAATTTCATTAATTTAATATAACAATTGAGCAATTTTTCCCCCAACATTTTCGTTAAGCATTTTACAACGGGAGAGGAAGTGTATGATATCATCAGCAGATGAAGAATTGATCAGGCTGCAATACAAGCATGTATACAATCCTTTAAAAATTCATACAACAAACACAGCACTTGGTTACAGTTTTAGAATAGTCTTTTATACATAAAACACATTATGGGACATGTCAGCTTGATCGATGCTTACTGGTACAGTTGTAGACTGGGGCAGATTGCTGTAAGAAGTCTTTAGACGGTGTTAACGCTTAGCAGGCTTTAATCGTAACATCATTACTGGTTTTTATAATTATAAACCATTACTATACCGAGATCTAACCAATTAGCCGACTTAAATTTTAAAGCATACTCGGAGGCTTAAAACAGTCTTAAATCATTTTCATCATGGTGTTACAGGTACTAGACCTACATCATCAAAGACTAAAAATCGAACGACAAATATTCCAAAGCTTCTCAACATCTGAAAAACCAGCGAACATGCAAGTTCCTTTTGATAAAATTTATCAAAATTTTATCAAATATTTATCATATTTAATATGAATGCATTAAGCAGGCGCAGCAGCGCCATCAATTTTATGTTACCAGATAGTGCTTGTTTGCGTTTCAATACTCAAAGCAGCCTAAAGCGAAGACCATTTTATAGCAATGGTCTTAAAAGAATGACTTTAGTAACACCGTCCAATTAATAAGTCGGCTTTATTCGAGGAGTTAAAACTACCAGTTAAGACAGTTTTATAGCAATCCGCCCCAGGACTTTGTGATAAAAAAATATATAGCAAGCCTATATTACCAGCTCCAGCTTGTATGTATCCTTAAAGAACATCTTGCAAATTATGGTGATTGCAAGATACAATATTCAAACCAGGATTACAAGTCAATGTAGCATACAGTTTCCCCTCTGTGGGACACTCGGTCTATCACACAAAGTCTACTTTGTATGCGAAATATTTATGTTAATCAAAGATAATATCATACAAATTCAAATAAATATACAGTTGTGTCGCATACCTCTATTGCTACCTTAGCTGCCTTAAAATAGAATCTATGATGACGGATAATGTCCTCTAGCCGGAGCAGACTCACGTATGCCCTCAGCGTCATCTTGCGTAAACAGTACGTATGAAAGTCAAACTGATCTTCGTTAATTTCACAGAAATGCTGAAAAAGAATAAGTGTAGTCTACATTTATTGCACATTCTTACAAAATATAAAACTGAAAAATATAATTGTAAATCAGAATTGTCTGCACTATCATTTTACCTGTGACATAATGTCACACCTCATCAACATATAGACAATCACATAAAGCAAATCAATACCACTCTACAATAATGTAAAAAAAATAGTGAAATACTTACGGTCCAGACTGAATATAGTGTTCAAATTGTTACTAAATGTTAGTAATTACCCCATCTATCTGATTCCGTAAAAAAAACCTGAAACACGGAGATCTCTGTTTGGCGGTCAAGCATTGCGTTACCAAACACGGAGATCTCGTGTTTGGCGGGCATAGTGTTAAATAAACTCTTACACAACAGTGGTGGCGTAAGCATTTCCCCAACAGGGTGGTCTATTGCTCCTCATAGACAGTTTTTGAAATTTGGGAGAACATAACAAATTCGGGAGACAGCATGTAAATTCTGGAGACTCCCAATTGAACCGTGAGGGTTGCAACCTTTGGTAGTCATTAGCTGAGATTTAGCAAACAAAAGGCAAACGGAAGCCTTTGTTTTTGGTGACTGTCTAGAAGTTGTTAATTGTAAATAAGCTGGTGATTATTAGAAGAAAATATTGTTTCATTTGAAAATAGCTAACATGTAAATTTTAAAAGCAAAGTTCTAAATTTTCGGGGAAATTTTCGTGGAAGCGGGGAGAGGCATAAAAAATCGGGGAAACCCGCGATTTTCTGGGAACTTGGGAGGTCTGTATAGATAGGAGTGATATTTTGCCCTACGTGTCATGTTATCCTACCAAACACTCAATACGTTCCCCAATACTTGTGAAAAAAGTGATCCGAGTGAGAATTGTACCCACCTCCAGCAAATAAATAGCCTGGTTCCATATTTATTTATTCAACTACATTTTAAGTGGATAGCCTTTTCAGCATAGCTGATATGAAGGGGGCTCACTTATTAGACAAGTCAACAACAAAACAGTAACCACTAGACTACAGAGTTTACACTTAGTGACTAGTATTGGAAGTTAAGTATTTTTGAGTATCAGTGTTGGCTAACTTACTCTGTCGACTTCATAGCATTTCTTGAGGGCTTCACCGTACTTTCCCTGACGTTGGTAGCTAGTTGCACATTCAGTTTGGAACCACATACATTGCATTTCATTCAGATTCTCCATTGCTGCTACACTCTCCTGAATGATAAATGTATTGTTAATTTATTTGGTTGTCGTATAGCACTATTCCTTGAGCATACAAAGTGCCAATTATCCTCTAACTAATACCCTCAAACCTTGAATAGAAGCCCTATGGGCATAATCATGAGAAGATGCCCATCTCAAAAAGAAGCTCCCTTCTTTAGTAGTTTCTTTAGTTTGCTTGAAAAGCAAATCTTGAAAAGTAGTCCCTCTTGAAAAGAAGCCCATGGGCCTCTATTTAAGATACTATGGGTCTATTTTTGAGATATGATTTATATATATTATATCAAAAGCTTGACTTAAATCATATACTTAGTTGTCCAACAGATTCTCGTCGGCATGTTTTGATCATCGTTATAGGCCTAATAGAAAAGATTGTGTGTATTTCTTTTTTTAGTTACAATATTAAACAGAATTTTGAATTTTATGGTTGAAGATGTCTTCAGAAGTCCCATGCGATTCGTTATATGGTGGCAATTCCAAACATTAACAAAATTCATTTTGAAAAGAATCCCCTCCTTAGTTTTCAAAATATCCTTAAAAAGAAGCCCATCTAAAAGGTCCTAAATGAAGAAGTTCAGAGCTTCTATATGAGGTTTTACGGTATTTCCTTTCAGGATAATTAATTTACATCTAAATATATAATTTGCATTTAAATTTATAATTTACATTTAAATATATCATTTAGATTTAGATAGAGAATTACATACCCTTGTAAATTTACTACACATTTCTTCAGCCTCTTTAACCATGTTTCCCTTCAGCATGTACTTAGCGCATTTTGAGTTGATAAAGCGGTCAGCTGTATCCAATGATTGTGCTTCATCCATACACTCAATGGCCTTGACTATATCCCCTGCATGCTGCAAACATACAAATCAAGATTATCAACTTAGTGTGCATCAATCAATCAATCAATCAATCCATCACATTCTTTATTCATTAATAACAATACAAAACACTACAACAAAATAAAGATATTCAGAAATTGACAAAAAACAAACTTTGAAAAGCTAAAAAGAGCATGTTTGGTGGTGCTCCAATGTCTACAAAAAAATTTTAAAATGGCTTTCAAAAAGCATTTAAATCTATCACATCCTATAATGACATGCTGAAAGTTAGAAATGATGATTTGGTAATATGTTAATGCTTGGCAGATAAGTCAGACACATTCAAGTATTACGTGAATGGTGGTTTTATATTGGGCTTGACACCAAAACGCAGATTTATCCCTGAACAAATTTCATGACCTATACCTGGGGCAAGTTGTAAATCTGAACTTGGTTTCTATAAAGTGGTAATAAGCACTGGGAGGCAAGCCTTTAAACCAAGCACTTAAAGTTAAACATTAATCTTACAAACATTGGAAGGTAAACATTTTAAAGTCAGGCTCCCGATGGAAAATATATTTTAATATGCTGTACAACTCATTTTGTTCAAAGACACAAAAAGCATATTTGATGAAAACACTTTGGAACGGTTAATGAGATACAGATTTTTGAATATGTAAAAACTGAGGGGGTGGGGAAGAGGGGCATAACCACCCTTTTACACCTTTTTCATATTTAATCATATGTCATTAATGATCATTAGTTTTTCGTCAAACATGCTTTTTGTGTCTTAGAATAATCTGTTCTACAACATATCAAAACATTCTTTCCTCCGGAGCCGGACTCAATAAGCATTGCAAGGTAAGCATCTTCATAAACACTGGAACATTAAACCAATTAACACCTTGACTAAGGTTAGAATCAATGTACATAAAAAAAACCCCTTACCTTGTAAATTTTTGCCTTGGCAACATATAATTCTATATGGACTGGGGTGTGCTCTATGGCTTTATCAATGTACTCTAAAGCCTTCACTGAATTCCCAATTGTGTCATGGTGAACAGCCAAGTAGTACCAGCCCCACATCAACATCGATGGCATTCCTCCTTCATCATTTAGCTCTGAAAAAAGAAAGCAAAACATTTAGTAACATTCCACATAAGTTTGACTAATAAGTTGTAGCATTTGGTGCAAACAACAAGGAAAATCAGAGGTGTGGGTACCAAAACCATGAAAAATCTCAGATGTGGGTACAACAACCATGGAAAATCAGAGGTGCGAGTACCAGAACCACAGAAAAACTCAGATGTGGGTACAACCACCATGGAAAATCCGAGGTGTGGGTACAAAGACCATTGAAAATCTCAGATGTGTGTACAACAATGAAAAAAAGAGGTCTGGGTACAACAACAATGGAAAATCAGGTGTGGGTACACCCATGAAAATCACAGATGTGAGTACAACTCAATCACAAAAAATCACTGGCATGGGTACCACACCCATGACATAAATTAGCACAATTGCAGGTAAATAAAGAGATACAATCACAGGCTAGAATACTGGTCTCATTCATTGAGAATTACTGGAGATGGTTATGTATTCTCTTACACACCAATAAGCCATTTCATAGCTTGAACTGCGCATACCTGTCATTAAGGTCAATAGTAGGCAGCTTTCGATTCGACGGTAGGACGTAGAACATAATGATTTAACTAAATGCGAGAATGTTAGGGTAACATCTTCGAGTAGATTCTGGAATTCGATTGCACGACGACGGTAGGACGTAGAACGTAATGATTTAACTAAATGCGAGAACGTTAGGGTCACCTTGTCGAGTAGATTCTGGAATGCAATTTGACCAAATCTACGTATGCAGAGAACGTAGGACGGTCACGCATGAGTGATTCCGTTCTAGCGTCACGTTGTCGGGCAAATCGAAAGCTCCCTCATGTAAACACACATACACAGGTTTATGTTGATTGACCTCGGATAAGGGCATGCACATTCTCACTATAAATTGGCTTATCTTTTAAAACATGAATATTGCTTACCATGGCCATATAGGGTCCCTGTGGTCTGCAGTGCATTAACATGGTCCATAAGAAGCCTCTCTATCGTAACTGCCTTTACCTTGTCATTATATAATCCTTTGATATTGGTCATGGCCGGAGCAACGCCTTTCACTAAAGCTTTCTGAAGGTATACATCAACGAGGGCTTCAAATTCCTCACCTGTAAGTGAATATTCATTGTTTATTATCGAAAAATTACTTAAAAATATGCTACTGGTCAAAGAAACTGTGGTATGCCCATATATAGTCATGACGTGCCTATATATGGCCATGTGATGTCATCATGGCCATATTTAGGCATGTCGCATGTTATAAGAAATACATTATAAGTATCTGCACTACAACAACTTTATTGATGTAATCATTTAGCATTATGTAATTTAACAATTTTTGAATAATTATAAGATTTGAAGAAAAGTGTAAAGAAAGCCTACCATGTGCTACTTTCATCATCACATGCTTCGGGACCGACGCTCGGGGATATTTTTCTAAGAATGGTTTGAAGATCGCTGCTTTCTCGTCATCAGTATGACATTGACAGGCAGTGGCATATGCCTCCAAGTACATCTTGTTCTCTGGGTTCCTTTCTATTAGACCTTCATAAATGCTTGATGCTTCTTCTATCCTACCAAGCTTTAAACATATCTCACCTGTCAAATATATCAATAGGATTACTGTAATATCAATACTTATCAAAAGAGCACACAACATTAGTGACCACGACTCTATCCAGAAAGATGTGCAGCATGTTAAGCAAGCCCTGAAACTAAACGGTTATCACATGAGAGATTTCAAAATATCCAAATGCAGCAAAAACCAAGATGATGAACCTGTATGTTTACCACATTTGGGACAACTTTCATACCATATTCAAGGCATTCTACAACAAGCCGATATTAAAGTGTTTCACAGGCACCCAACAAGCTAACCCAGACTCTTCAAACACACAAGGATAAGCCACAAGCACACAGCCAGTCAGGAGTTTATCGGATTCCATGTGAGTGTGGAAAGGTTTACATTGGTGAAACAGGACGTGATCTCCGTACCAGGCTAATGAACACCAAGGCCATGTGAGGAGAGGGGAGCAGCAAAAGTCATCAATATAGTCATGCACACCCACAAACAACAACATCGTGTATGTTATTGTGATAAATCTGAACTGATAGCCATTGTACCATCTTGGCATTGAACAGAGAAGCTATAGAAATTCACAAACATGATACAGTACATCAAGATATTGGATTTGTCATCAGCAATATTTGGTTGTCCATGTTTAATCGGACCTAAAACAATGCATGCAACACTTTTCCCGCCACACTGGAAATCATGGCTTGTTTTTGGGCGCTTCAATTTGAGATGGGCATTTCTCAAGACTAAGCCCATTGGGCTTCAATCAGAGGTTTTACGGTAGTCCGTTTAGGACTGGGGTATGGGTATTTTGGATGTCATCAACATTTAATAATGTTCTTTTAACATAGACAAAGAACAAAGGTTGAAATTTGCAAGAATTACCGAAATAACTGTAAATCTAGAATGGAATATGAAACTCTAGTTATGTACCTCTAGTTTCCTGAACAGAAAGTTTATCATTGATTTGATCCTCATACTGGTCCAGGTGTTTGAGGGCATCCTGCAACTTCCCAGCATCCTTCATTACATCATTCTGATAGAGTAAGAATTCACTATGTTCATAGTCGTACTGCTTCACCTGCAAGGAATAAAGGTTCTAATGTAGCACCACTCACAAGCAAAAAAAAAGCAGCTTAGCTCAGTCGGCTAATCTGGTGGTAGTCACTGTGTGTGCGCTGAACCGTGGAAATCTCTAGGTCCCCGGTTCAATTCCCATCGCAGCCTCTCCTTGTGTTTCAGCTAGAGGGCTGAAATACAAGTTACAATAGCGCACCGTCTTTTGGATGAGACGTTTAAGCCGTTGGTCTCGTATGCATTTATGGCCCATGTGCACGTTAAAGAACGCAGTACACTCTTCGGAAAAGAGTAGGGGATAGTCTCCCGGTGTACTACCCAAATCACCACCAGAAGGACCCCACTGGAAATAAGTCTTCTTCTAGACTTTCGTGGGCTATCCTTGGTGTTTACACTGAATAAATCCAATCCAATCCAAAAAAAAAATAGCTCATTATAAACTGTTCAACCAATAGCCCAAATCTTAAGAACCATGTATGCCAGTATTAAGATCAATTAACACAAACAGACAAACACAATATAAATTTATGTTAATTGAAATTGGATACAGGCTTGTGCAGTTCAAACTACAAATTAGCTTATTACTTTTCTACTGAGACCATAATCTAGGCATTCTGTGTATATTTTTTTATAAATTAATTTTAATACTATGATTGCTATGATACAAAATGCAATTTACATGGATGAAAAAGTTGCAGGAATTAAATAACAGAATTAATTAGAAAAGTTATTTGTTAAAAAGGTTACCGTCTGTGTTTTTCTGTATTCTTCCAATATATTTAATGACTGCGTATACTCCTTGAGCAAATGATGGGCAATTGCATAGCCAATCCAAGAGGCCCTTTGAACTGGTCTCAATTGTAGTAACTGGTACCTAGTATCCTGCAAAACAATTCAAAAATGGATCAGGCCAGGCCAGGCCAGGCTAGGCTAGGCTAGGCTGGCCAGGCTACGCTGGCCAGGCTACGCTAGGCTCTATTAAACTAAAATTAGTTCACTTTATCTTTTGTCATCTCTTTTACACTCAGGGCTTGTTACTTAAAAATAGCAGGTGAGCTAAAACCCACACACCAACCCCTGACCACATACACACCTAATTTTGTTTAGGTGAATGATGATTTGGGTGAGGGAAAAATTTAAGTTTCTATGGAATAGTTCAGGGATATAGTTTTAGTGGGCGTGGCCACCTAGCCTTGAAGTTTTCCACCCAGTCTAAAGCTAATTCCATGGCCTTCCACCCACCCTTATTAACCCACTTTTCCATCCTTAAATACTTGTATTATCTAGAGTTTACCAATATTATCACACACCCACCCTCCAAATATCTATCCCCACCCTTAGTTTTTATTAGCTACAAACCTGATAGTTTACTACTGCAGTCAACAAAGTGGTGTTGGGGTTCAAAGCAACACAAAATACATCCCAGCAATAAAGCACTGCCACAGTATTTAAGTTCTCCACTAAATTATAGGTGAGTGAGTGATTTTCAAACCCAATGTTCTCTGTTGTTCACACCCCTGCCGAGTAGTTTAGGGAGTGATTTTTAAACCCAATGTTTTCTGTTGTTGACAATTTTTTGTTGAGAGCCGAATGCATAGCCAAATTTGTTGCTATAATAAATAACACTACACTCAACACATCTCATGATAGTGAAAGAACACTTGATTTAATTAAAAAAAAAAAAAAAAAAGCTTGTATAAAATATTAAAATAAAAAAAAGAAAAAGCTTGTAGAATATATTAAAATTTGGTGATGAAAAATGTGACCATCCAGTAAGAGCCTAGGATAGGCTTATCGTCAGATTAACTTTTACTACCAATTAATACCAGCCAATCAGATCGTAGGACGAGGGGGTAGATGACTTACTCTGTAACCTTCCAAGTCCCTCATCTGGATTTGTAGCAAAGACAGGTCTCGCAGAATCTGAAGATTATCCTGTCAATAAAAACACAATTAGGTAATAATTAAGGTAATTACATAATTAATGAGGTGATTACTTACGTAATTAATTAGGTCATCAATTAGAAAATTAATTGGGTTAATTATTGGGTAATTAACCAACATCTCAACCTAAAGCTTCGTAGGGTAGGGAGTGCTGATTAAATAAGCTTACTTAATCTTTCCCCTATTTTAAAGTATGTCTTAACTTTAAGAAAATCATTGTTATTTGCTATCTATTATGATGTTGCGTTATACTGAATAAAGTCTAGTCATTATATTTTGCTGAGCACGATGATACCTATCAACTTACTGAAAAAAAATTCATTGGATCCAAACGATAAGTGTGTTCTAACGTCAAGAAATAAATAGTGAGTAACATCTTAAGTTTACACTTACTTTGGATCATCTAAAAGAACCTTTAGAACACAGATACCTATCAACACCGACTTTCATGAGACAACTGATAATTAAGTAGTAAAAGTCACAAATAATATGAATTAGTGGGTTATTAGATGGGTTATTTTCTTGGAGATTCTTGCTTGCCTGCAGGAGGCCATCCTGATTTCTGGGAGACTCCTGTGATTTCTGGGAAACTTGGAACCCCCTAGCTTGGCATACACTACCACAAAGGTTCTATGTCTTGTGGAACATTAAAGGAATTAACATGACCTATGACCCAAGACCATACCTTGTCCCACTTCAGGGCATTCCTGTAGCACTTGATAGCGTCATCATACTTGCGGTCAGACCTCTGAAGCAATCCATAGACATGCCAACCTACAGTAATCAACTAAGGAAAACTCTCTCAATCCACAATATAAAATTTTCTTTTTTCTTCAACAGAAAAAAAAAACTTTCCCTGGTCACCACTATGAAAATTGTGACACATATTTAAAATTACCACTTGTAACTACAGTAGAATACCTCCTCGGGGATATCCCTATTAAGGGGAGATGTTTTTTGGTCCTGAAGGTGACAAAGACAATGAGAGAACATCACAATAAAAATGCACTCAGTACTGAGGAATATAAACGATGCAATGATATGTCGTTGATATTAGTTGCTGTAAAGGAAACTCTTACATTCTTATTTTTTTAAATTGATTGATATCCATTACGTTTCTTCGTGATTTAAAATTGTATCTGAAACTCACTGACATACGGTAAAGCAGGGCACTCGCTGCATCATACAACAGTCTAACTCCGCTGTGAGCGCCTGACAACGCCGTCATTTGCCGATTGTCTGTGGTAGTCTAAATGGCTCGTCATTAAAAATGATCCATTGTGTGCACTGCATTGCATTGGGTTCTTCATAGAATCGTGCAGGCCGATGACTGTTGAGGCAGTGAGTGCCGTGCTTAGGATTATTATTGTATAAATACAGTATTATTACACCATCCAGTGGTGAATCTTAAGATTATTATTGTATAAATACAGTATTATTACACAATCCAGTGGCGGATCCAGGAATTTGAAATAGAGGAGGCCCAGGGAGGGATTTTGACAGATGGAGGGTCTATACAACCTCAGTCTCACCATGGTTGGGGCTGAGGTAAGAAAATATACGATTATGCCACCTCTAAATGCCGGGAATGGCACTCTCAGACTTGAAAATAATTTTCTTGTTTTCTCCAATTTTTTAGAATTAAAAAAAAAAATGTGGTGGGGGAGCCCCCGGATGGGGCCCCTTGAATCCACCACTGCCACCAATAACATCATTATTTTTAAAAATTGCCTGAAGGATACAGACATGGCTCTTCAAGTCATTTCTAAGGCCTCTTCTAACAAGATCATAAGCTTCTTCCTTTCGACCCAAACAATTCAATGTCAACCCCTTCATAGCAAGTGTTTCTAAAATACATCAAAATATAGGTTAGGGACACAAAAACACTTAACATTATATATGAAATTAACATCATTATTATTAAAACAAAAAAGCATCAATTTTTTTCATTGAAAAAGCTCCCTGTTCAGTGTGTGCTTAAAAAAACATATATAACACACCAAAACAAAATGTAGGCAAAATGTTACACAGAATTGTTCAAAAATTGACAATTAAATTATATACAGTAGAACCCCTCATTTACGTACGGCACGGGACCAGAGCCATTCGTAAATTCGGGTATTCGTAAAATCGGGGTTGACCCAAATTCCTATATATTTGCACTGGTACTACTTACACTGGCATAAACTGGGCCTAGGCTAGGCCTACAGGCTTTCGCAGCTAAGTCTGAGGGGGCCTAGGCCTACAGTTGGCAGCTTCTAAGCATTCTGATCCCACTCTAGGCCCTGCACAAATTTGTTTTTATCTGAAATTTTTACCTTCTTAAATACCTAGATTGTGGATTTTATTCCAACACAACTTATATATATATATATATTGATCATTCAATAAAACAATCAAGCACTATGTTGAATTTTAAAGCTGAAAACGATGTTTGAAAGAGAAGTAAAATTTGTCGCATGCACATGTGTGAAGCCATAAAAAACACAGACTTTGAAGAGGCCCGTTAGAGGGCCTCCTTTACTTGAGAATTACATAGTACTATATAGTATGGTGTGTTGTGTTGTATGCATGGTAATAACAGGTAAAATTCGAGCGGGTTTTTTTTTTTTTTTTTTTAATCTTTCGCTTCAATTTTTATGAAGTCATCACCTTTATATTACGTTCGTAAAATCGGGAATTCGTAAAATCGGGGTTCGTAAATGAGGGGTTCTACTGTACAAGAAATGGTACGAAGACACTTCTTGGGACATATAATTTATCAACCAAGATTTTCATTGACTTCATGCTGTATTGTTAGGGTTGTCATTAAACAAACTATCTACTAAACAAAGTATCTACTAAAAGTGGGAAAAAATAAATCATTTCTAGTTTTAATTGCAGTAAATCTATTTTAAATTAGTATTACTTTCATGAAAATATCTAATTAACTGTGAATTATATTCCTTACCTCCATGCTCTGAAAATTTGGGGTTGCCCAATATCTGCTTGGAGTACTTTAAACCAATTTTGTACTGCTTGTGTTCGTAACATTTCTGAAATACAGAAGCATGCATTAGATTTCACCCTGCTGGAAATAATTGAATATATCAAAAACTAATGCTGTATGCTTTACTTTGTTGTAAATAATTCTAGTTAAACTTGATTAAGTCATATCCAAAATGCCATTGCAATATTGTTTGAATTAGACAAAATTAGACTTAAAGATTATTAATTAATGGAAAACACAACAATTTGGCATGTAAAATAAAATCGACTTAGGCAAGTTTAACTGTAATAATATCTAAAATTTCTGGCGCAAATTTCTGACGCCAATTCCACAGAAGATCAAAGGCACAGCACATGTGAATAGCCACCGGAAAAAAATAGCTCCTAAGCTGTGACTTAAAAGAGAACTAGCAAACTGATTTTTAGTTCTAGAGGGGAATTTTGATATGCCATTAATAATATAATCAACCTTAAAATCGCTTTTTGGCAATTTCTTTTGGAGTTATAGGCCATTGAATACAATTTAATCCTGACGTCACTGGCGAAAAAGGTAACAAAAGATCGTGTAAATAAAACCGCGTAGGGTATCTGCCGCGTACGATCTTTGCGTGCATGCTGTAACCATAGCTGTAATTCTTCTGTTGACAACCGCTGATGCAGTTATAGGCCTATGACTTGATATGCAAGTTACAACAACCATGGTTACAGCATGCACACAAAGATCGCACGCGGCAGATACCCTACACGTCGCTATTTACACGATCTTTTGTTCCTTTTTTCGCCAGTGATGTTACGTTAAAATCGTATATAATGGCCTATAACTTAATAACCAATTAACAAAAAACGATTTTAAGGTTGGTTCTATTATTAATGGCATATCAAAAATCTCATGTAGGACAAAAAATCATTTTGCTAGCTCTCTTTTAAGTTGCAGAGTCAAAAGTTATTCTATTTGGAAACTAATTTAAAAAACAAAGGCTAAGTATAACTGAAAAAACTTTGACCATAGGTTTCAATACGGTTAAATTTTGAGAGGATGATCAGAGAGGGCGAAATGAGTATATCGGGAAAGCAATGAACTCAAATATGATGGTTTATTCATTAATATACCTTATTTAGTAAAATGGAAACCAGGACTAAAATCTTGATGATTGATATTTTATGACCAAAAAAGTTTTGGTTTGTGCTACTTAAGCCCAACCAATATAAAATATTGGCTTTGCTTCTTTTGAAACTTAATTTACAACATAGTAATACTGAAGAGCCCAAAATAATTGTTTCAAAAAGCCTAAATTTTATTTTCTTGCCATTAATTATTAGAGGTATATATTTTTGCCATGTTTGAATGAAATTGTTGACATGTTTCTAAAATAGTAAAACATATTTTTTTTAAATCAACTTTTAGTGGCCTTGGGCAGT